TCTCTCTCTCTCTCTCTCTCTCTCTCTCTCTCTCTCTCTCTCTCTCTCTCTCTCTCTCTCTCTCTCCCTGCGTGTGTGTTTCGCGATTTTTCTTTAATCCACACACGCGATATAAACGCGACGATCATCGGGCAATTTTCGTTTCCTCGATTAACAGCGTGTAGGGAACGAGTGTCTAATCTTCCTGAACGGAAACTTCCTCCAGAGACCGTTTTAAATGATTTATTAACGACGTGTGTATATGATGCGATAATAACAAACGAAATGACGAAGGGATATCGCGATAGATGAATTATCGTGCACTTTCCATCACATGTCGGATCGCGTTGCGTGCAAGTTGCGTTGTCGTGTCGCTGTAACTTTTGAACGAAAGATAGCGAATAAATACGTGAAAGGTGGCTTACACGTGTTCGAAAGTGGATCGATTTTTGTTACACGTCGAACAAAAGAGGAGGCGAGTATTTACTATTTTCTCTCAAAAAGAGAACGTATGCAAATATATATTCGAATAATAAAAAAGGTAGAATTGAAGATAAATGCGTGAAAACGGTTAATAAATTAATAAATTGATCATTAAGTTTACGAGTTTACTCGTTAGACCGGTCATACTCGAAAGATCACGGTGCTGCAAAGATGCTCATCGAGCACGAGGAAGGTTTGTTTACCCTGACCTACTTCCGGTCAAGTTCATTGCTCATCCACGCCACGTTGTCCTCACCTTGCACCGATGCGTACCGATCTCCTCTCTTCCCGATTCCTTCTCCACGTTCCATCTTCCACACCTAGGATAGGGAAGAAACAAGAAGACTATATCGTGGTTGGACACCGTTACACCGTGTTCCAACAGCCAGGAAAAAAGACGAGGCAAAAGTGGAACGTCTCTTTTTCACGATTTAACAAACGTACGCCTACGTTATTCGTACGCGTTTTGAAAAATTGAGAAATCTTGCTCGCGATATTTCTTCTTCTTTTTCCCCTTTCCTAGATTCTTCTAACCTAGTATCTTGGAAACTGTGATAATGAAAATATTTGTTTATCTTTAATTAACAGCCATGCTCATTTTGTTGGATTGAAAAATATACAAAATATATACAAAAAGGATGTTCCAGTTTTTTTTGGAATAGAGATTCTAAGATACGGTAGATTTTGTTTTTTATGCAAATAATAACGCGAGTTAAAAAAAGGTGTAAAAATTTTAAACGTGAGAAGCATCAGTTTTAGAAAGTATCTTTCACCGTGACTCATTCTGCTCTTTCAGTTTTGTTCTTTTGAAAGAATTAAAGCGCGTCTTGCACGTATTTTAACGCGAAGATTAATGGAAATATTACACGGAATAACAATTCTTTGAGGTTAGATCGAATCGAATGCAAAAATGATTAAATCACTTTTCTTTTTTTAAATGAAATAACAGAGCTGAAGTGGGCTTAATAAGTATTTTTATGGAAACATCATTACGAGCCTATCATAAAGGATAATTAATCTTAATTGTCGTTTCCGTGCAAACGATAAACCTGTGCAATACGCTTCACTTCTAATTTTAATCGTTTAAGACGAGTTGAATACGCGAGAATAATCTTCACTCGAGAGAGAATCGACTATAATTGGTACAATTCATCGATGGAACGTAATTATTACTCGAGCAATCTCTGCTCGAATTCGAATCGAAGAGGTTAACATTCTTATGTTTCGTTAACTTCATGCTTTCATACGCATATTATTCGAATTAAGCTAAGATTCTTCGCGAATACTTACTCTCTCTTTGTTTGTATTTAATGCGTTTTAATTGAGATAGAAGCGTGGATGAAATTTGTGGATACTTTTGAGGTTAGAATAATTACAACGATTGATTGCAACAATTGAATTTACATGATAAACAGGGTTATTTTTTTCTTGTAATAATATCTTTTAACCAATAACGTTTCTGAAAATGATCGAACCAAGTCTTTCGAGAATTTCTCGGTCATGTTTGCTTATCCGGCGTGAATCCTCTATAATTTCATTACTTCCCTTAGTGTTTCCCTAGAGTCCTAGGACAAATCGTGTTCTTTTTTTTCTGCTTCAAGCAAGGTAACGAAGAAAATGGAAGTTCTGTGAAAAGTATGGAGACTTAATAAACGAAGAAACTTGATAACAAAGAATTATTTACATTCGTATGGAAGATTTTTTCAAAGATTACCATTAATTTGAATACAATAATATAAAATAAAATTCTCTTTATTGACGTACCATCACGCAAGATTTCTGATTATACGTGTAATTGTAAACGCGGTTTTCCAACAAATATCCGCTATAAAATAAAATTATTATAATTAAAACAATATTTCTAATAAATTTCAAACATATTAATACGTGAAAACGAATTAATTACGTAAGGAAAAGTCAACCAAGGTGTCCTAAATTCCACGTTCAATCGATAGTTGTGTATACCTAGCAAATATAGAGACCAAGAAAACGAGCCAACTTGCGTGTCCAGCGAAAGGAGTTCCCAGTGGAAGTCGATACGAATTATTAAAGTAATTACACGGAAAAAGCGCTACTAGAGGCTGGACACCGTGGAGGAATGTATATTCTGCCTTGCTTTCACCTGCCGTCGATCCCCAAACTTGACCGGCCATCGACGATGTTGCCACAATAAAGGAATCCATTGTCTTCGTGATCAATCACATCCAAAAGGGTAATCCATCGTTTCTGCACTTTCATTTATTCTCTGAAAATAATGCAATACGAATGAAGAATAGATTTAGAAAAGTGTATGGTTATGTTCGACATCCAATGGCTATGTTTCTAGTAGGACGAGGAAGAAAGAAAAAAGTTAGTTCGATAAGATGGTTACCTGAGGGCGTTCCCGTGTATCATCGTGGGAACACGGTCCACTAAAATTAGCTTGCGCGACGTCAGTTTCTTTTTCTTCATTTTTCTCCCCTTCATCTTTTTTCTTTTTTTGAACATACTTTTTCGTTGCAAGCTTGTTGGAGATAACTAGAAAAAATGACGTAGATTTTTAGGTTAGGTATGCTCGTTAACGAGAATTTTTGTCAAGGAAAATTTTGATCGTATAACTTATATATGGCGTTGAATTTTTAAACAGCAAATGACGAAAAGGAAGGAACGAATAAAGAAGAAGAATTAACAAAGATATAAGATAAAATGAAAAATCGTAGGGAATAGAAGTGACGAAGGAAATCTCGTTAGTTCAATTTCACAAGGACATCTGGTGATCTAATCGACGAAGTACTTCGATCGATCGTTCTCCGTTCCATAACAATGTACTTAAGTAGAACGAACGTAAGAAAGATGTGCAAATCGTTTTATCATATTGCGAATGAATTTCTCACTTTCCGTTAATTATCGATATTTCATTCGCGAGATTGAAAAGAAGATTTTTCAACCATCGAAATGTTAAAATTTGTTTTGCATTGGGCGTTGCGAGTAATCTTGTATATAAGTGATCCGTTACTTTCTAAATTCTTGTGCGTCTATGACTAATAAGCGATCACGTAGTATTGCGTTTTATCAAAAACCGATGCGGACGTAAATGAAACGTTATATTTTTTTGTGCAAGATCAATTCCTGAATCACGCGTTGTCCTAAAAATTGGTAAATATTCGTCTACTGTATATAAAGATGGAAAGGGAGAGGCGGTAAAAATGCGAGTTTGATTAGTGATTTCCTTCCGTGCATAAAAATAAGTATTGGCAGAAAGTTTGGCATCAATAAAACAAATCATGAACAACGGAACGAATAAATTTCGACAGAGCAAATGGGACACTCCTCTTGTTCTATTCTTTCCCTTTTTACGTCTTGAATTTAATTACTTGCTAAATTACATAGTGAATATATCTTCCATGTATTTTATCAAGCCACGCATATACTTGTAACAATATCCGAACACAATTACAAGTTATTACAGTCTAGCACGATGAGAATTATTATAAGTATCAAGTGGCATAAAACAAGGAAGAAAATGAAAAATCTTGAAAACAACTCGAACTTTGCTGAATATAAAATGAGATCCGATAAAGAGATCCGAGGTATCTAGGTCTGCCTGGTATATTTTCCCTTTCACCACGACCTGCCACACGACAAAATGCAATTTTCTACGTGTATCCACCGCACGCTCATACGTGCTTTTGTTTCCACGCAACGTGCGTGTGCGCATGCGCACACGATTTTGCACGAGTTAACGTAATCACGTGTTCGTACAACGGCTCTTATTTAGGGCCACTTACCCGACGACCTTAAATTACGCGATTTTCGCGAATCGGGACGCAACGCACAAAATTCGCATAAGAGACAATGCGACACGTTATCTCTGAGCCTTTCAACAGAGGGTCGTCGAGTACATGGGAGCGGAATGGTACTGGATACCGTGTAATCATCACAGCTCGCCGTGTATCCGGGCATTGAATTCGCGGATTCCCCTCGGCCTCCTTCGAATCCTTCTCATTGTACGCTTTCAAGTTTCGCAAGAAGAAGGACCTCCGATCACCGGAGAGAAACGATCGAACGTGTAATCAATTCAACCGAGATAACACGCCCTGATGTTGCAATTCGAAGGATAATAATTTTTTTTTTTATTAAAAAATATGAATAATTAATGGATTCTATTTAACGAGGATGTTAATTTAATTAATTTCGATTTTAATACGAAGAAATTACGATAAAATATTGATCTACGTATTAGCATATATGTATAATTTATCCCTTTTTATCAGTAATGCTAATAGAAAACGCGAGATACAAGAGTTTCGAAACAAGGACATCGAAAGCTACGTTGGTCCGTAGCGTGAGAGAGGATAAAAAGGAAACGATAATGACGTCTACGGTTGACGCATTTCCTGACAATGCCGTAGCGAGACGTGATCTTGGCTACGACTAGTTTTTCCGATTGTTTTGCATACACTTATTTCGATTACGCGATTACCGTTCCTGGAATGGTAGAAAAGAACGTTATGTATTGTCATCGTTGTTCCACTACCAGCAACCAAGCGTCCATACCACTTACACGATATAATACCACTCGCGAACGCTGTCCTTTCGGTAAAACAGGAAAAGTTATACAATTAGCAAGGATATTCCGCTCGACCGGAATATAACGGGGTAGGGAACGATATTATACCGTTATATAACTCTTCTATTAACGGCCGTTACGTTCGATTTTAGGTTGAGTTGTCACATTGGCTTCGCGACGAAGTTTTTCTTCCTGTGGAGAGTCATGGAACGCATGGAAGCACCGTGCAAGCTGTGGCCAAGTGAGTGACCCACGATTGGTATATCGCTTGGGTTGCGTAACACGCTCTACAAGCGCGCCACCTCTCACTTCTCTCGTTCAAACTGACGGTTATACCTCGTGCTCGGAAAAGCTGCTTGAAATTCGATCCGTTCGAACGGTGATGTTTCGTGAAATCTTATATTAGATTAGGTGTAGAATATTTTTATTCGCTTTGCTTAAGTAACGCGAAGGATGATCGCGAATGGAAAATGAATATTAGATAACGATGTATGTAGCGTGATACGATAGGATTTTAGTGTCTTTTCCCCCCGTAGTGTTATATTAAATTGCAACGAAAAAAATGTTGGAAGTATTGGAATCTAGTTGAGAATTTAGAGATGTATTTAATTGAAAGGTAAATAGTCCAATTATGATTGCAGTTAAATACTAGTTTAGAAAATTTAACAACATCGTTTATTTTAACGATGAAATATTTTTCAAATTTCTCGAACGAAAGAGAAAATAACGATTGTATAAGTAATAATGAGATTTACATAAGGGCAAAGTAGTAAGTATCATCGATGTAAATTTATCTTAAATCGTTTATTATTAATTACTGATTATCCTTAAACGTATTATTCTTAAGGTAAAATCCTAATCAATTTTTACTTACATATTTTTTTCATATTTGTCGCACGAATATTATTTTCATTCTTGCTAATCTCTACTTATCATTTGCGTTCCAAAAGACATCCAATCTAGAAAATATTCGGAAATTTATACTGATCTTCATCTTTATCAATATATGGAGAAAGAAATTAACAAATCAGGACCTATTTCGATTGGCAATTGGATCATTCTGATCGACGAGCACGTCGATAGGAATTGATGGAGTTTCGTGATCCATTAGATCGTAACGTTCGATCGATGCAACGCAGTTCAACTCGTACGTGAATCGAGTTCGACGAGCAGAGTGACTTAGAACGTGCTTAACTTCTGCAAATCCAAATGGTTGCGTAAAGGTGAACCAGTCTTTTCTACACCATATTTAAAAAACGAGGAATATTAATACCTTCTTAGAAAACTTACGTACCGGAATCAGAATTTAGAATTCTATTTTTAATCGTTGCACGAGATTCGGACTTGATTAAAATTTTCCAAAAATCCGTTTCAATCATCTCCAATTTAAATTCATCAAACCATACCTTGGCCGTTTAACCAAATACACTCAAATATATAAAGAAATTTGACAAAATTGAGTTGCCGATTGCAAATAAGTATATCTCGAAACAAAAGTTTGAAGGAATGCTCTCACCAGGAATGGTTGGCTGAATTTCTCTAAGAAAAATGTGTAGTTTTCAGAGCAACGGTGGAAGGATGCGTGGTATCACTCGATGGAAAAAGATACCTGGAATTGTCTCAGTTTATACCGGTTCGTGGGGCCAATCGAACGAGAGGCTTTCTCCTGGATCACTCGTTTGCACCGAGTCTCTGGAGGGGATATCTATATAGGCTGTCCAGTCTGAGTGTGCCCCTTCAAACTGTTCGCGATCTTAAGCCCGTGCACGACACTCGATTCGTTCAAATTTTTCAATAAATCGATATTCGAATCTTCTTCTTCTTCTTCTTCTTTTGGAAAAGAAACGGGAGGAATTAAGCTGGAGGAAGAGAAAAAGAAGAAGAGGAAGAGTGGTGAAATATAGGAAGGGGCACGAGGGACATGGCTCGATCGTGGTGCATTGTGAGAGAGTGCAATTGAGACGAACAATAAGCAGCGAAACGTTAGTCGAGTTTAATAAGCAAGCTTTTCGTCCCAAGGCGGAATTCGTCTGCATTCGTCTCTTGGCCGTTTGCTGGGATTATCCTGCGCCATGGTGAGTGGTTGTCGATACCGTGTTTCAAAAATTGGAAAATCGTTCGAACGTGTTTTTTTCTTCTTTCTCGTTTTTGATTTCGGACGAATTTAATTCTTCGGTAAAATTTGTAAATAATATTGGATTTAATTTAGCGATTAATTGCGGTTTAAAGATTAAATATTCGTCGAATTAAAACAAGACAAAGGATATTACTCGATTCCACACTTTCTATCGTTAATGAAATTTAATCGTGCATTGACTTATCACACCTATACGTGTCTATACGGATTAGAGGAACTGAATTATGGAAAGTAGCATTTCTCTCTCTTATTAATTTATTTGAACTAATATACGAAAATATATCGTAATAAATAAAATTCACTTAATATTTCTCATATGATTGAACTATAAGTTACAAAAACTTAGATCAAAATAATAATAGAGTTAATAGAGTTAAATTTATTTTTTCTTTTCTCTCGTGTCCAAAATTCTCTAATTAAGAAAATTAGGTTACTAGAATATTAGCTACTACATTATAAAATAGAAAAGAAAAAGAAAGGAGACACTTGGTTATTCCAAGAAAGAGGATTTCCTTTGGAAATTTAAAAGAAGAGAGGAAAAAAAAAAATTTAGACGCGAAATGGAATAATAGGCAAAATCGAAGTTCTGCCGGTGGAGAAGAAATGGGGGTCAGTGTGTGAACAGCTTCGCTCCTTATGTCGCAATTCAAGAGGTCGCCGACCGTTTTCCTTCTTCGATCGTATTACTGTGCTTCTTTCTCTTTTCCTTCCTTTCAATCATGCCAAATTTCCTCCTACGAGAATTTTTTTCTTGGTTTACGTTTTCTTTTTCTTTCTTTTTAGGGAAATTAATCGATACAACGAAAATAAAACTGATTGATTAGATGGAACCTCAGAAGTATTTTAGTGCTGTTGTGTTAATAGAGGAGAGAATCGAACGGCAGGTACAATTCCTCCTTCTGTTGCTAATTACCTGTCACGAAAGGACAAAGTGTTGGCTCGAGATCTTGCTCTAATCGAGACGCGGGAAATTCAAACGAATCGAAGAAAATCGCAATTTCGTTTCGTCTCATCTTAACCACTCGAAATTTTCTTTCAACTACAACCGGAATAATATCAAAGGAGACGAAATTAGACGCGGTTAGAAATTCAAACGAGTCGAAGAATTTATTCAAATCGTCTTAAATCGTCGAAATTTTCTTTCAACCGGAATAATACGAAAGTCGATCGAAAGAAAAAATAAAGGATGATCGGTTTAGCTTGGAAATGGTACGCACAGCGTGTGTACACTCGTGTTGAGCAACGAGAAACGGAAAAGCGGGGAGAGAAGAGGCACGTTAAAGAACGGAAAGATTGGGATCTATCGTACGGAGGTTTAATAGACAATGAAGATTTGCGGCGTCGATAAGTCGAAGCATAGTCGAATCCCTTTTCAGTTTCCTCTCGTCACTCCTTTGTTCGTTCGAAGCCCGCTCCACGAATTCTTCGTAATTATAAACGGTGTGTACAAGCGATCCGCATTTCATAATCCCCTCATTATCATCACGGTATCGTCGTAGTTCGAGAAAAATCGTTTATCGAGAAAAAAAAAAAAAAAAGGAATCGATGAAATCGTGCGAATATCACTACAGAACCGTTCTCCGGCTAATTTACCTTCCTTTCTCCTCGTTGGAATGCATCAAAACGTTTGTCGGTTACCAGGAAGTGTTTCGTTTGGAAATCTATACGAGATGGGCCTGGTGGACTTTCGTTCGATCAATGATATTTGATAGCATCGATATTTTCTTACAGAATTATGCTAATTTCAAACTTTCCAATGATGAAGAAAATAAGATAAATCGCGCTTTCGTGACAAGAAATGCTTATTTTTCTGAATATGTAGAATTTTTACATTATCCGATAGAAAAATTTTTTCCTCTCTGATCGAGGCGTAGGATTAAGGTGATTCTTTTTAAACGCCATTTTCCTTTCTACGAGATAATGAAAAAATGCACGCGAGATCAAAAGTGGTCCAACAGTCGAAAAAGTGTGAAGGTGAAAGTATATATATATATGGTACAGGTTATACGAAAGAAAAAGAAGAAAGTCGACTCGATGAATGTATTAAGTGGAACGGACGATACGTCGAAAAGGACACGGGAATCGGGATTGTTTGTGGGGGAATACGTGAGAAGGAAAGATCGGCCACCTGTATTGTATTTTTCCCTTTCCGATTGTTTCATCATTGCGAAAGTGTTCGCGATAATGTTTACGTTTTAATGTTATATAATTATCGTATTAGTAGAGAGAACGAGCGATGCTATGGCGGTAATATGGACGAGCGCGTGACACACGAGTTATTGATAATCCGTGAGACTGCATCGTGGGAAACGATACATTGTTTCGTACAATTTAACGATCGTTTAAACGTTCCATTGTGCGAGATAATGGTTACAAGAAAGAAGCGAAAAAAGTATATTAAATATGTATCAATTTAATAATTTTAGAAAAATTGAGAAAACAATCGATCGTGCTTATTAACGTAATCTTATTTTCTTCTTACGTTGCAACATATTGAAATTTTCATGACATCACTTTATATATTTTAATGATATTTAAATATTTAACTCAGAGGAAATAATCATCTTCACGCTTAACAACCCGGACGTTTCTAATTTTTCATCGTCGAGCGAAACCAAACGCAACTGTCACTTTGAAATGACTTTGAAAATCTCACCAATTGTCCAAGCTTGGAATCGTTTCCACCGACGAAGAAACGAAACCGACAGGCTACAACTATATACAGTTGTTAATCCGAGCAATCAAGGGACACCCTCTCGAAACGAAAGTTTTTCGAGAGGAACGATCGAACGTAAAGATACAAGTAGAGCGTGAAAGGACGTCTGTACGATATTTTCGCGTGTCGTGTTTCCCTTTATTACGGTCAGAATGGGTGCCATTTGGCTGGCCACGCGTCGTCGTCGTTTCGTGTCTCACCGATCCGAGAATCGAGTTGATTAGCGTGTTACATCGGACAGCTGTTCGTTTGGAAACGTGCTCGTTGGTCACCGCCCTCCCTTTCCTTTATTTTCACCATTATACGATCGCGTGCGATTTCTTTGACCGCTCGAAACAATCTTTGTAAAAATTGTCCAGCAAGTTTAGAAAATAGTTGAGTTGAGATTTGTAGATATTTTTTCGAATAGGGCTGGGCATTAACTCGTTGTAACTGTGGTTAAAAAATTACTTTAAAATAATTATTATAGTTGATCCGCTTTTCGTATAATCTTGAACGTTTATTACACCACACTTATTCACGATTGTTATTATTACGTTTCGAACAAACTTATCGAAGTGATATTATTCGTAAGTTCGGTTTTATTATTAATTTTATGCGAGTTAAGAAGATTTTTATGCATAGAATGTGCTAAGAATTAGATTGGGTATACAAGATCGAAAATTCAGTGTTTCGAATCATAAAACGTCCGTTTTACAAGGAGAAAATTCTAACGAAGAATGATTTTAATTATGGCTTCTTTTACTCGAACTTTACGACTCTGTTCTCTTAAGCCGCTTTCTGTTGCTGGTTAACACCGAATATCCCCGATGAGCTGCGAAACGTGGGCAAAAGTAGGATATACGCTAGGCGTAGATAAAAGGAAGCAGAGAAAGCTTAGATTTACGAGTACCGTGAACTTTGAAGTATTCGTCTAAATTGGTAAATCACCTTTCCCCGTTTCAACGCTCGATGCTTCGTTCGCATTCCGAGCAGAAATTTTTCCAAGATGATCTCGATACATTTTCTCCATTCGCGCATCTTTCTCCAATCGCTTCGAAGTGAAAACACGTATCCGGTTTTATACTATATACGTAAAAATCATGATCATCCTTGCTTTAAAAGTAAAGACGCCTGGCAATTGTTACGTTCGAATTAATTTGAAAATAAAACGGAATGTGAAAATCTTGACGATTTTTCACGCAACATTGCAATTTTTCCACACGGAACGATTTTTCTCCTTTCTCGGAGCGAAATAAAAGATGAGAAGGGTTAATAAGCGTCTTCTTATTCGCAAGAGTATTCACTCTCGACGATTCTCTTCCCTCGTTAGAGAAGCATTGCAACCGACTATTTTCATCCTTTTTCTTCTTCTATTTCTTCTTCTCTTCCACTCTTCCGCTCCTACTTTTTTTTCACGCTTGTCCATTCAGATGTAAACAGAGATGTGGCTTTTGGCTATAGTCCAAGATATTCAGGGACAAGTTTTTATAAAGAGTGGCCACTCCTAGCCTGCTCTAAGCCTTTTCGAGAACGACTGTTGAAACTCAACGGTCAAAGAGTCGGACTTGTTTTAATTCTCGATCGATATTCTTCTTTCGTTCATTGATGAATAAACGAATCGTTTCCGTGTATCGCGTATCGAGGATTAAATTTCTATAAAAATAATAAAAAAAAGTCGTTGAATTATAATATAAAACCAAAGGAACTTACGTAAAGTTGCGTAATCGTAAAACCGATAATTATACTACATATAATTGAAAGAAACCTGGAAGAAATATGAATCAAACTTTCTTTACTATTCTCTTATTTTAACTTTCCGACTTGTCATTGATCGTTTCTTCCAATAATTGGATTTCGTTGTTTCTTTAATTATTGCTTTTATCGTATCGTGTTACGTTTAAAACATTTCGATTTTATATTTGCTATATTCCGTGCACATTCGCGTTCTTACGCATTACCTGTATAAAGATATAACACAATCCTCGATGTCGCAGAGTGGTTTCGAATCGAGGCATCGAGCAGTAGTATCACAGATTTATGCGCAGACATTCCACGTAATATTCTACTTACGTTTTTCAATAGGGGTTGAAGCAAAGCTTATAACAACAAGCTTATATTTCATACTCCTCGTATAAACCGAGTTTCAACTTTCCGACTCACCATTTTCTCGTCGACTTCAAAATAAAAAGTTTAAACACCTGATTCGATTTTGCAAAACGCAGCTGAAAATGACATTTCTT